TTGCAAACTCCATCAGCAAGGTATGGAGTTGGCCTCTGCCCTCAAAACAGCTTCTCTTCTTCCTACGTACCTCCTGCTTTAAAACCCTACCTCTGGCCCTAGCCGATTTGGCTCAGTGGATAGAGTGTTGGCTTGTGGACCAAAGGGTCCCGAGTTCAATTCTGGTAAAGGGTTCCTTGGTGGCAGGCTCCTCCTTGCCCCAGGCCCTGTTTCTCTCACATCAATATTTCTCTCCGTCTTTCTGGACACGTTCCCCTTGCCCATTAAGGATAAACACGGGGCAAGTCTCAGATGTTTTCTCTCAACCCTTACATCTGTATAATGCTAGGATGTCAGAAGTTTTTTGGTTTAGCATTTAATCCAACTCCTGCATTTAAAAGAAGGCAACGAGATGGAAGCCCAGAGAACTCAAGTGACTTGTCTGAAGCCACACAGCCAGCTAGTTACAGATCTGAGACTCTGGACTCAGTGCTCCTTTCCTGACTCAGTGCTCCTTTCCTAACTCTGGGCCATATTTTTTATCTGTTGCCCGGCCAGGCCAGCCAGCATCGGGCAATGCTGGGTTGCTAGGTCAGTGCAAGTTCAGGCTTAAGTTTAGGCTGGAGGATGCAATAGATGAACCTTTGTTTCATACTAAAAAAAAAAAAAAAACAAGTAAAAATCATGTCTGCTTGTTAAAGCTCCAAGCAGTGTGCAAGTATGTCCGGAAACACTTGAAAACCCTGCCCTCCTCCGGGCCCTCCCCAGCCCACACCCCGGGGGCAACCACTTAGCGCTGTCTTCAATGTCTCCTTAATTTTCCTGCCAGCGTTGGGTCTTGCAGGATCCATGCCACAGCAAGGCTATTTTTAACAAGCATCCCAGGCTTCAGGGGGTTGAGGAGAGGGGAAGAAAAAATATTCCATTTGTATATTTTTAATCCATGCACATTTGAGAAGGCAGTGGCTTTCCTGTCCACCCTGCCAAGGGTTTGGGGAAATTTATTAGACTTTCTGGGTACAGGGTAATCCTTTCTCTTCCCTAATGAGGCTGGGAGGCCAGGGAGGGGTTCAGGCATTGTATCCTGGTCTGATGGCTGTCTCAGCTGGCTGCCTTCTGATCCCGCCTGCCCCCAGCCCTCACTCTCACTCTCCTGCAGCCTCAGAAATCCTGGCTGGGTATCCCAGGCAGAGGAGGCCTGGGAACCTGACTCTCTAGGCCAGACTCATATTTAGAAATGTCTCCAGCCAGAGGTTGGTATCTGTCCTGCTTGGGCTCTGGGCAGGGGGTGCGGTCACATGTGCTGCCTTCGAGTGGGCAGATTCTGAGTGGGCAGCAGCCCACTTTGAATATAAACACACTCCTTTTATACCAAGGCACTGGCATCTGAGCCTGTGCTCCGGATACTGGCTGTGGCCAGTGCTGGTAGCCAGACAGGTGGCAGGGGGAGGCAAGAAAGATGCCCCATGGCTTGAACTGGTCAGAATGGTGGTGGAGAGTGCTCCCAACTGCCTGCCCACCCCAGTCCCTATATGTTGCTTCCCTCGGTGTCTAAAGTGCAGTCCCTGACTGAGTAGGAGGCTGGTGGGGGGAGAGGGACAACAGTGCCCTGTTCTGGACTTTCCTGTCCTTTCAGGGGCCATCTGGGAGGTGGTGTGAAGTGGGACAGGGTGCGACCTGGATGTGGGGCCTCCTGTGTCAGGGTCTTTGTCCACCTCTCCCTGTCTGTGAGCCACCAGCCCTTTAACTTCTCCCAGTGGCACCTGCGAAATGTTGCCCATGGTGACATCATCGTGAAGGCTCTGACCAAGAAGGTTCTACCATTCCTTGCTCACCCTGCCTTCTTTTCCATGGCAGTGCATGACGACAGATGGATGAGACCAAATGTTCCCAGCCGTAAGCAGAAGACTCCTGGGTAATAGTCACGCCTGAGCCCTTACATTCACTCAGGCCTCCGTAGTTAGTGAGGACCTTCGAGGTGCAGCCCTGTGCTGTCACTCGCCCACGGGGGCTGATAGGAGCTTTCAGCTCTCCTTATATCGCACTTCTCCACCCCTCTGCTGGCCTGCTCCGGGGACCGGAGGGGCTTGTTTATCAAATTCAGCTCTCTGTATGGAGGCTGCCTTCTGCAGCCGAATCTTCAGAGAGAATCCAAATGCAGCCCTCTTAAGCCTTACGCAGAGCCAGCATCAAGTCCTCAAGCCCCGGCAGCCCCCACCTCTCTGCCCCCTCCTTCCCTCCTCTCCCCACATCTCAGAGGAAGAAAGCTCAAGTAGTGGTTCAGGAAGGGGTGCATAAATACTTTCTTTGTACCTCCTGAGAGAAACATGATTAATACACAATAACAGGATGGGTGGATGGATGGATGGATGGATGGATGGATGGATGGAGAAGTGATTGATTGACTGACTGACTGAATGGGTGAATGAATAGATGAATAAGCGAGTGAATGAAGGAAGGAACAAATGGGAATTCAGTCTCTGCTCCAAAGGAACTTGAATTTGAAGGAAAAGGACTGGGCTTGTGGGACTGAAGGGACCCAGTGATCAGAGTCACACCCTCCTTTAATGGAGAAGGAAATGCAGGCTCGGAGGCGGGAGGGGCTGCGGTGCGATGCCTGTGGCAGACCTTGGAGGTTAGAGGATGGCTAAATCACCCAGGGAGAGTGAGATCCAGAACCCAACCCAAGGCTGCCCTACTTTCCCTCTGCCGCTGCCCTCAGGGTCCCTCGTCCTTGAAAAAAAAAATTGCCTTTTCATGTGGTTGGGAGTGGACGGTGCAATTTTTCTTCGAGGGTTAATTGTTTTGCTGACAGCACAGATAATTAGGAATGAGAATCCTGGAGTGAGGGCGACAGCACCATCTGCTGTGAATATGTTTCAGCCCCACCTTGCAGGAGGGCTCCAGGGCTCCGGTACTCACCCCCCCCACCCCCAGCAAAAACCGAGGTGCTCTGGAGCTGCTTCAGGAGCTGAGCCTGTAGCTAGCAGGGTCTGTGGAAAGGTGCAGCATGGTCTCCCTCCCGCAAAGCACCCAGTGCACATAGTAGGGCCCACTAAGAGCTGCAAGGCTGTACAAGCCTCCCCACCCCCTCCCGGACACAGAGCGCTGACACCAGGAGCGGCCTTTCCCATCTTCCTGTGGCCTGATGTGCTGAGGTCTGGTCCTCTGCTGGCTGGAGGTGGGCAGTGGGGAGACACTGCCTTCCATTGCTGGTAGGAATTTCCTAGGTTGTGACTTCCTCTGTGTCAGTAGGAGCAGAGCTGCTTTGGAATCCAGCAGAGAATCCCACTGTGGGGAGCAGCCGAGATCTTTCTTCATACGGTGGGACTGCATGGTCCTTTCCCCGCCCTCCATCTTTATTATTTAGATATAAATCATATATACAAAAGAGCATTGGTACATAAAAGTGCTTTTTGAAGGTAATAGTAATAATTTCTTTGTTCTTTCAAAGGGCCTTCTAACCCTCAGTGCTGCCTTGCCCAGAAATGCCTCAGGAACCAGAGCCACTGGGAGCCAGGCCACCCAGGGGCTCAAGGTCAGCACAGGCCCGAAGCTTGACTATTTGTCACTACCAGCTTCCTCTGCCTGGGCTGCTCCTGGAGGCCTGGAGCCTCCACAGCCCTGTCTTCCCTATTTATCACTTGCTCTCTCTGTGCTTTCTTCTCCTAGATGCTCCTGTCAGGGGAGAAACCAAAGGCATGCCTGTGCTCTTCTCCCCATCCCCCCATAGCAGGCCAGGCCTGTTTCTGCTCACCCCTTTCCACTCCTGTTGGCCAGCCACACCCCAGAGGTGACATAAAATCACCCTAGGAACGTGGAGCTTGCTGGAAAGAAGGGTAATTGGGAATCAAGAATTCAAATCTTGACTCTTTCGCTAACTTACTGTGTGACCTTCAGCGAGATTCTTAACCTCTCTGTGCTTCTGTTTTCTCATCTTTAAAACACCCCTTTACATTCCAATGAATGCAAACACAGCTTGAAGGGTATAAACCATTACAGCTGTTGGAAGACATTGCCATCTTCATGTGTACAAAATCCATGGGACTTCATGTGCCTTCCTTCCTTCCTACCCCACCCCACCCCACCCCTGCTCATGGCACTTCCTTTCACCTGCAGTGCTGGGTGCCCAGGCAGAGCTGTCCACCTGCTATAGCCCCTTCTCAGCAGGGTTAGGGTTAAGGTTAAGAGCCTGAGATTTGGGTGGAGCTCAGGGTCACAGCCATCCGGGCAACAGGAGCCCTCCTCACTCCCTAGCTGCCTGGTCAGAGGTATAGGGCTGAGCAGACTTCGACACCAGGGCAGGGCTACTTCTAGCTGGAGCCCCTTACCACCCACCCCCACCACCCCATAGTGTGAGCCACAGTCCTGGTTGTGAACTGTGGTCACTCAGTGTCCAGTGTCTGTGTCCCTCACCCAGGGAGGTCTGCACCTGCCTCTTGTCTCTCACTCTACATGAAGGTCTATGGAATGAGGGTTTCCATCAGCCTCAAGTCAGTGGCCTTCTGGAGCCCCCAAACCACAGCACACCGGAAGCCTTGTCCCAGGGATCGGGGCTACGAGAGTTGAGGATGGTCCCTGGTAAACATGTTCTTGTTCTTTGTGGTCTCATTGGTGGAGGGGAGCACCCCAGTCCTCCCGCTTTCCTGGGCAGTGAGGTTCTGTTGGTGGTTATGAGCCAAACTCTGACTGGTGGTTAGGATGAGTAACTAACGGTGGGTCTTTTAGGAAGATAAGAAATATGCAAGGTAAGAAGACAGAAATACAGGTGTGTGTGTGTGTGTGTGTGCGTGTGTGTGTGTGTGTGTGTACGCATGCAGGCTGAGGTTTGGGGATAGTGTTGGTGGGTGGGACATTGGCAGTGAAGAAAGACCCTGGCTGATGTAGAATTCACAATAGTCACCAGGAATTACAAGACCTAATAATAAAGAGCAACGAGAAGATTGCTGGAAAGTTCTAGACAGTTAAAACTTGGACTTGGGTTTTTGGCCCTGGTAACAGAGACCTCTGTTCTTCCTCAGGTCCCCTCTGAGGCAGCTGAGTGCTCAGGAGGCCTCATCATCCCTGAGGAGTAGGCCCACCAGCAAAGCAGTAAGGGATGGCGTGGATCCCTCCCAGGGCCTGAGGAGAGCGTGGAGCCCACAGCCCGTTGGACCCGGAGCCTCTAAGTCGGGAGGCTGCACCAGCTGGGAGACAAGAAGAATGGATGCTTCGGCCCCTGGCGACATGCACACGGTGTAATGACAGGTAATGAACCTGCGGCTCATCTATTCCTTCTGAATGATATGACAGGTAGGAGAATACATCAGCCTGCAGGAGACATAAAACGTCAACCCTGGGGAAGATAACTATGCAAACAAACCTAGTAAGGCCTGATAAGATGATAGATGGATGCTTCCCAGTTATTAGTTTCTGCCCCGTGAGCTTGCTGAAGCCAGGCCCCGGAAGATTTAGCATCAGGTGGGTTCGCTTCCTGTGCCTAATGGGAAGGCCTGATGCCGTGATGTATGTAACACCTCTTGTTTGGAGAACTCGGGATAACAAATCAAGAAGTCATTACTCCCCGTCAGCTTCCCTGGGAACCAGGGAATTGGTGGCAAAGAATCAGGGAGCAGAGGCGGCTATAGGCACAGTTCTTTCATGCCTTGGTGATAACTGAGGGGTGGACCGGGGGACTCCCTGGGTGGGAAGCCCGCCGATTGGTTCAGATTTTTCAAATGACAGGGTGAAGCGATGGGTAGGTATTTCTTGTTTAAAAAAAAAAAAAAAAAAAAAAGATAGGAGGACTTTATGGCTCCCTACATTCCTCCAAGGATGCCAGGGCAAGGAGCCAATGTTCGGGGTGCCTGGGGGAGGTCATGAGTAGGGGTCTGGAGAGCCTGGGAGGAGCTGACAGACACAGTGAGGAGGTGGCTCAGACAGGAAGCATTGAGCAGGTCCCCAGAGCCTAGAAGGCAGGGCCTGAGGGTGGAAGGAGAGGGGACACTGGGATTGAATATCCCAAAGATTACCTCTGTCCCATTGGTTCTCTGGTCCTCACTGTGTGTTTTACAGTGCACTACTCTGGCAACTTCCACCAGGAAAATGGCAGGCTGGGGTGGGAGTAAAAATAGCTTGGGGCCTTGGGAAATTGACCAGGGCAGGGGGAGAGAGCCAATGACCTGGGGCACGAGGCCCAAGGGGGTGCAGCAAATTCCATTCTAGCACAGGCCAGTGTCAGGGTCCACAGGGTCGAGGCAAGGAGTGGGGAGGGGCAGAGTATTAAGACTTCTGGGTGGCCTTGTTCTAAATCAGACAGAAAGATTAGAGGAAGAAGGAATCCAGAAATCTGAGCCCAGCTCTAGGAAACAGATCAGCTACAGGCACCAGGCAGGCTCAGGACTTGGCTCCCATTCACATGAGGAAATGGACAGGGAATCGAGTTCCAGGGACCCAGCAAGGATAGTCAGGGGCTTGTTATGCCTCAAGGGGCTTAGCGACGGAGCTGGCAGCTCCACAGGAGCCTGGGATAACTGTGTCCCTGGGTACCCCAGACCATGTGTACTGACCCTGAGCCATTCCAAGACCCCCTCCTCTCAGTGGGGCAGGTGGTCTTTGCATCTCAGACTTGACTGGGGATCTGAGCAGGGCTGACCCTGTGGGGCTGCATGGTGGGAGGTGATGGAGGTTACGGGGAGGCAGGAAAGGCCCAGCCCTGCAGGTGGGAGAGTGAGCACTTCATCATGCACGAGGCCAGGAAGGTAAGGGGCAACATACAAGAGCATAGGATTTGGTCTATCAGAAGGGTCTTAACCTAGTTTACCAATATTTACCAAGTACCTGTTATGCACTGGGAACTGGGCTAGGTACCAGAAAAGCAAGGATCCCCATGTCTGCACATGTCTGCCCATGGGGAGGGGTATCTATGGGGCAGAGAAAAAAGCATAGGAATGGAGACAGATCCAAGACTCTGAGAGCCTCGAGCTTCTATCTTTACAAGACTATTCTTACTCCCAGGCTGGGTGAGAGAATAAAATAAAATAAAACATGCAAAAACACTTGGCACAGCAGCGGTGCCCTCACAAGCGATTGATACATTTAGTTTACCTGCTTTGGAGGAGGTGGGAGCAAAGAAGGCTGGGAGAAACGCATCCTAGTTCCCTGCCATCGGTGGCTAACAGGGTATGAGATCTGGGCATGGACATCAGCTTATGAGTCTCCCCCCGGCCGTGGACAGGGTGGTTTCAGGTGGTTCTGAACACTCAGAACTGGTGCCTGCACTTCACACACGAGTCCCCTGGCAGTTGCTGGGCCAGAGGCTCTTCATGGGCACTGAGTGTGGGTGAGAGGGCTGAGTCCAGGAATTACCAGAAGAGTCCAGAAGAGACGAATTGTCGGAATGTTTGGGAGGCTTGCCTCCCCGGCTTGCAGCGCTGTTCTTAGGAGTGGGGCAGGGGGAGTGAGTAAGACCCAGCAGGGACCTGGCACTTGGAACAGGGCTGCTCAGGAGGGGCTGAGCAGGAGCCACATGTAATTTTTAATTTTCTAGAAGACACCTTAAAAATGTAAACACAGCAAGTGAAATGCCTTATAATAATGTGATTCATTTAACGCAACCTGGTCCAAGGACTACCCTTGCAACCTGTAATTAATACACAAATCGTGAGCGATCGTGTACATTCTTCTCTGAGGTCCAGAGGGTATTGGACGCTGAGTGTCCATCTCAGTTTAGACCAGCCAAGTACCAAGGGCTCAGTAGTTCCTTGTTCTCGTGGCTGCTGTCCTGGATAGCTCCGATCTAGAGGAGAATCTGGAATATCTTGCCAGGGGGGATCCAGAAGCTGGGTGAACCCTGAGCTAAGCAACAGGATTTACTATTATGTCCTCTTCTTCTGACACCGCTGGAGTGAATCCCTGGGGAAACGGGCTTGAATGATGACAGAGGCATTGACTTACTTGTTCTAGATGGTGAAGTGTTCTCTGGAACCAGCCCTGGCTGCGTCTCACCTGCCGGGCTCAGAGAGAGGCCACCTGTTCTGGTCCTGGCGCTGACCGCAGGTGGTTTCTGAAACTCTCTGGGCCTCAGGAGCTCCATTCAAAGTGGGACTAGTTGTTTCTGTCTTGTTGGGTAACAATCTGGAACTAAATCAAATAATGACTAAATGCTCTGTGCCTTTTTATTTTTCTAAATCCAATGAAAACCCATTTGAGTTCCACCACAGGCTAAATTTGGTAAACTTCCTTGCAGGTATGTCTGTTGCTCTGTCTCCATCCTTTTGCTGTTTGAGGACGTGGGGCTGTTTGGGTTGGGACAGATGGGGAGGGGTGAGACTTGGACCTTGGCCCATGCTAGTGGCAACTGCCTGCGACCCCTCCTTATCCAGACCTGGTCCTCTGGAGGAGCCAAGCCCTGCAGGCAGCTTGTGTCCCTGTGTCAGATCTGCCAGAGGGAATGCTGTCCCCCCACCCCCCAAGCTCGCACCTTAAGGTGGAGTGGGGGTTGTCAGCCACTCCAGGCTTATTACCTATTGTATCTTGGGACCCAGCTCAGGGTTCCTACCCTGAAAACTGCATATCCTCGGATCTTCTTTCTTCTGTAGTGAAGTCCCCTCCTTCCCTTGGCTGCCCCCTTTCTTTGCCTCGTCATAATAATGCAGGTAATCCCCCCTTAGGGTCAGGGAGCCCTTTGTCACAGAATATGGCTGCTCTTTTTGGAGGCGCAGGAGTACATTTTTGTATTATTCTGTGAATGACAGCTGCTCCAGCCACTGGCCCCCAACAGCAGCAGAAAGTAATTGCTATGTGTGTTTATTCACACGGGCTCAGGGTCGGCACCCACAAAATGAAGTTCTCCTATGCCTAGTCCACTCTGAAGAATGAATTACGTAATTTCTGCCTTCTGGGGTCTTTCTGAGACTCAAGTGAGATGGGGTATGTGAAAGTCCTTTGTAAAGTTATGAAATGTTATTGAGACTCTTAATTCCCTACCTGAGGCTGTTTTCTGGGCCGGGAGCTGGGCTGATTCTCCAGACGCCTTTGCACTCAGTGTCACATGGCGGGCGGGCTGGCCCACCAGCCCTGTCCTCACTGCAGACTGGGCTGGTGCTCTCTCTGGTTGCCCCCACCCCACCCCTGGGGGGCCACCTCGGAATTAGCCGGTCTCCTGTTCTCCTCTGGGAGACGGGGAGGACCTGTGTCATGGCAGCAGAATGTTTTCTTGACATCTGAGTTTGGAATCCACCCAGATTATCGGGAAGATTCCTAGTTCATGCTTCTGTGCCCGAGGGGAGTGTGGCAGCCACCTGCGGGAGTTCCATGAGTCTTCCTCTCTGTCCCGGCCTGGGCTTGGTGACGGTTCCGCCATAGGGAAGGAGGTTTGAAGCGAGTGTGTGCAGGCACATACCCCGTCCTTGGGGCCTGGTGTGGAGGGAGCGGGGGAAGGAGGTACAGGTCGGTGAGGTGATGCTGATGTGAATGTCAGCTGCATTGGAACCAGTACAGAATCTATAGAATGAATGGGAGTTCTGCAAGCTCCGGGGCCGACATGGTGTCTTTAAGGTTGGGCCAATATGACATGGAGTGTGGCTGGGTCAGGGGTCCTTGGATGCTCACCGTCCTGGCCTGTGGGTCCCTGTGCTGCTGTTCTCTAGGCTGGGGGTCCTCATGCTGGAGCAGCTGGCTCCTGATTCCTGGGGCCGGAGCACTCAAGGCGGTTACAAATCCTAAAAGAGTCCTATCAACCAGTGTCATTAGGAGAGCATCTATTTAAAAAAATCAATTTATGAAGTGTTGTTTGGAAAACAGCGGCGGGGGGTGTGTGTGTGTGTGTGTGTGGGGTGTGTGTGTGTGTGTGTGTGTGTGTGCAGAATTTAAAAGGCCAAGCGCATTTAGATAGAGATGTGATTCTGGCTCCTTCTAAGCTTGCACTGTGCCCCCAGGCAGAACTCTCACCCTGCCCAGGCCTTCAGGTGCCCGTCTATGAAATGGGCATGAGAAGTATTGCGATGATTTCATCCTGCTGCTGGGTCTGCGTGCATTTAGTGCATTTATTTGAAAAGAAAGAGGTGTTATGAATCTTAATCTCCAAAGATTTGAGAGTATTACATGGCAACGCCCTTTCTGTGCCAAGCCTACACAGCGTAATTCTGCTCTGAGTCTCTTTATTGCTTCCTGGGGGCCCTCGGAGCACGGCCTCTGATCTATCAAAACTTAAAATCCTGCAGCAGGGAAAGACAGAAAGCCACATTGCCCTTGACTGACAACCTTCATATGACTAGTTAACCATTTTAATTTTTCATGATTCCCCTGATAAA